GCCCCTAGAGCTCCCCTTTCCTCTCACACCTCGTTTTCAGAACTTCAGCAAAGTACATCCAGATTCTGACTACTTCACACTTCCACCACTGATTCCACCCCAGAGCAAATCATCATGCTGCTCCTTTTCCTATTTTTTTTTTCCTGAAGGAAATGAAGAAGCAGCCTCACATGAGGCTACCTGGGGGTAGAACATTTCAGAAAAAAAAAAAAATGCAAGAGTTGAAATATTTCTGCATCTGTTTTTTTATGAGCTGTGATGATTTTAACTGTACATTTTATTGCATACTGTGTGATCATTCAATACACGTACACACACACAAACACAACAATACACAACGTGTAAAGGTCCAATCAGGGTAGAGATCTAAGAAGCAAAGGAAACTAGTGGTGAGACAACTCAGAGAATGGGAGAAAAATTTTGCAAAATATTTCTCGGCCAAAGGATAAGCATCCAGAATATATAAGGAACTTGACAAAAAAGCCACCTAAGCAATCCCTTGCACTACTGTAACTATCCCTGGCCTTCTTGCTTCTATCCTGCGCTACCCTTTCCCACCCTACAGATAATTCACCCAACACCCAGTTATCCTTTTAAATCGAAACCATCTCATCCCCCAGCCCTCAATGGTTTCAAAATATCCTACAAGTCCTGAGGACATCCTGCCCAGATAATCTCTCCCACAGTTAGCCTGTCACTTGCCCTCGGTGTCCTAGCGGCTGCCTTCTTGCTGATCCTTGAAATATCTCAACTCTTGCATCTGTTTTCTTTCTGGAATGTTCTACCCCCAGGAATCCTCACGGCTGCGTCTTCATTTCCTTCAGATGCATGTTCTAAGTGGCCTCATCCGGGAGCCTTTTTCTAGCCACCTGTTACACAACACCCCTTTCTGCTCCTTGCCACCACACCCTGGCTCATCAWTCTTCAGCATCCGGACCTCTGACTGAAGTTCTTGGTTGTTTTCGACTCTATATTTCATCTTTCTCTTGCCGGAGTGTCGGTTCCATGGGATCAGAGACTTCGATTTACTCCCCACCCCTGAAGCACCTGAGCCAGTGCCTGGAATATCATAAGTGCTCAATATGTGCTAGTTAAATGAAGGAATAGTCTAATATTTTTTTGCACTCTATATAAACCCCCTTTTCTTTTCTAACATTGCTATAACTCTTTCTCCTGGAAGCTCAATAATTTCAACAGAATGTTTTGCTATAGATTGTTCTTCATGGATTTTTGTTTCTGGGAACACTGTATCCTTTTTGATATGTAGCTTTTCAGGCAAGTTTTATTTTATTGTACCTTTGACTTCTTCTTATACCACAGAGTCCCTTCTCCAAGAACAGCCAGTATATTCTCTTTGAATCATTTTTTTGTCTTTGAATTTTTGTTTTGTACAATAATTTTTTTCATCTTTATTCTTTCCTTTTTTAATTTTGTGATTTCCTCCGTTCCATCTTTCATGTTGTTGATAGCATTTTAGTTGTTTAGTTAGTTGGTTTGTTTTAGTTAGCTTTAATACTTATTCCTTTAATGCTGCTTTCATACCTGTGAAATCATTTTTCTTTTCCTTTTTTTTAACTTTGCCAGCTTACTTTAATTACTTATTACATATACTTTTAAAAAGTTCATTAAATTTTTTTTTTCTAAATCCATATCCAGTAAAATACACTCTTTCTGGTGAATTTGGGTAAATAAGGAGAGTAGTTTAGCCACCGCCATCATTGACGTACTGAATTGCTCCATCACTCCAATAATTCCTGTGTGTTACCCTTTTGCAGACAGCTCCTGCCCTGCTCCCAGCTCTAACCCCTGGGAACCTCTGATCTATCCATCTCAATCCCATAGTTTTGCCTTGTATAGAAAACCGTATAAATAAAAGGACCGGGCTTCTTTTGTTTAGCAAAATGCAATTAAGGTATATGGATGTCATTGGGTGCATGCATAGTTCATTTATTGCTGAATGGGACTCTATGGTGTGGATGTACCAGTTTGTTTACTTCGTAACTGACTGAAGGGCATCTGAGACGTTTCCAGTTTTTAATGATTATRAAAAGAGCTACGATAAACATTTTCATAGTGGTTTTGGGTGAACATTCATTTTCARTTCTCTTAAGGAAATATCAAAGGGTAGGATTACTAGGTTGTATATTAAATATATGTCTAGCTTTATAAGAAGCTACTAAACCATTTTGTAAAGAGGCTGTAGCAATTTTCAGCCAATAAGGTATGAGAGTCTAGTTCCTCTACATTCTTACTGGCACTTTCTGTGTCAGGACTTTTTTTTCTTTTTTTTCATTTTTGTCATCCTAATAGACGTGTATTGGTATCTCATTTTGGTTTGATTTGCACTATTTATCCATTCATATATCCCTCCCTCCTTTCCTTCTTCTTGTCTTCTTTCCATCTTTTCTTTTGTGCTGGAGAGCARACCCAGGGGCACTCTACCACTGAGCTATATCTCCAGCCCTTTTTATTTTGTCACAGATTCTCACCAAATTGATGAGGTCAGCCTCAAAACTACGACCCTCCTGCCTCAGCCTCCGAGTTGCTGAGATTATAGGCGTGAGCCAAGGTACCTGGCTTCATTCACATTTCTTTAACAAACCAATTAATTGAGCACCTTTTTGTGTACTTCTTTTCCATCCATACATCTTCTTTATTAAGTGTCTGTTCAAATATCCTGCCTGTTTTGGGAGAAGATTGTTTTCCTAGTGTTGGGTTTTGAGAAGTTTTTTTGTTTTCTGGGTTTTTTTTTTTTCCTTTTTTTTTTTTGTGACAATATTTTGCACAGAATAACTGCTCAGTAAAAGATAGCCAATGTCAATTTTGCTGCATTTTTTTTCAAATATTTACTTCTAGCCTGTGGTTTCTTTTCTTTTTCCTAATATCTTTCATGGTGTAAACATTTTTTGTTTTGGCAAGGTTCAGTTTATCATTTTCAAAAATGGATTGTAGTTTTGGTGCCATCATCAAATGCTTTGCCTAACCCAAGACCATAGTGATTTTTCTTCCCAGTTCTACTTTAGAAGTTTTATAGTTTTATGTTTCACCCTTGGGGTGGTGATACATTTTGAATTAGTTTTTGCATGTGGTGTAAATATTCATGAATTTTCTAAGGGGTTTTCTTGGGATGGGGGAGGTAGACTCTACCTGGGGGCATTGTCTCTATCTAGGGTTCTGCACACAGAGAAGAAAGCAGATATGTGTCAACATCCTGAGGAGGTGAGCAGCTCTCACCTCTCGCTGTTGGATAATGGTGCTTGGGACTGTGACATTGTCTCTAAGCCTCAGGAAAATAAGGGCTTGGATCAGGCATCAGAAGAGACCATTAGGAAGAGTTTGTCCAGGAAAGTGGCTATGACTATGTGATCTGATTGGGGGAAGACCTGGGATTTAGAGGGACAAGATTTTTAAAATAATAACAAAATTGATAGTGGCTATCTTTTACTGAGCAGTTATACTTTGCATAGAGATAGTTTCTAATCTTTACGGCTACTGATAAGGGGACAATTATCCCTTTCATACAGTTGAGGGAACCAGAGAACACATTATATGCTCAAAGTTGCACAGTTATTGAGTGGGATTGAAACCCAGGCCAGACACTAAAGATGGTGCTCGGTCCACTCCAACAAGTTGCTTCCTATCACTAAGGGCTTGGAGGGACACTGGATGGAGGTGGACAAAGGGCAAGGAGGGAAGAAGTCTGCTCCTTGGTCAAAGGAAGACTCTTATGAGGCCAAAGGACAATTGACTCTTGGACTGGGGGCTGGGACAGTAGAATTTTTCGGGCTGAAGTGGAGTCCAAGGACTAGAAAAAATGACCCTRGTGGCCACTGAAGGGGAATCTCATCCATGCAGTCCTGGTGGGGCCATCTGGGCCTGCTGTCCTGGATGTCTCCTTCCAAGCCTGACTTGACATTTTTAAGTCAGTCCCATTGTGGGAAGCCATCCTCTTACCTAGGTGACCAAACACCAAGGTCCCACCTGCTGGTTGGGTACCTACATTTCCTCCTGGCATCCCAGGTGGGGCGCAGCGAGCAGAGGACATGATCTGCATTGGCTATATATGTCACCCTGAGAGGTGTCTAGGGGGCCTAGAAGAAGGCAGRGAGTGTCTGTCTTGGGACAGTGAGGCCTGAGAAGAGATGGCTTTGACAAAGCACAGCAGTTCTGGACCATTCTGCTGTCTGTATAAAGATTTTCTTCCTTCTGCCAAATATGGGGACTCTTTGGCCTAGGTCACGGAGCTATTCCTGGAAGGTAGGCAGTGCGCCAGTGTTCCAGGCAGGCACTGTTCTTACTCTGTAAATAAATGCAGTGGAGCCAGGGTGCACAGCCCCAGRGACCTGCAGCCCAGTCGGCCTCCAGGTAGGGCTCCCAGAGAGGTGGGGGCGGAGCCACCAGGGCTGGAGAGGCTGGCAATCTGGAGGCCAACCCTGAGGCCTTTGCTCAACCCTTAGTTAGCCTCTCTCTGAGAGCAGTGATCAAAGGAGGCATCTTGGATGCATCCCTGGCATCTGGCCTTAGAGCCTGAGGATGAGGATTCAGGTGATAGTTTCTGAGTCCAGCCTGAGTGGAGAGACAGGTGAACAACCCAATCACTAACCTCCCACTTAGAGACTAGAGACAATGCCAAGACAATAGTCTCTCCCTTGCTAATAGGGATCCACTACGTTCAGGCAAAAGTCTGAGCAGCATGAATGCAAAGTTCAACCCTGGAATCTAGAATCCTGGAGCGTGAGGCAGGAGTGCTGTGGAGAAGGCCGGCCCCAGCACCCCACTACCTGGTGAGTTACCCCAATACTCCAAGTTGCAGTTTCTTCTGTGGTCCAGTTTCAAGGCTTCTGGGAGGAGTCAATGGTACAAAAGTGTTCAGCATAATACCTGGCTGTAAACAGTAAGTGCTGCTTAGCTGTAGCCACAGTCATCTACATCATCACCATTATTTAGTATTTTATTAGTGCATTTGGAGTCAAAATACCTATATTTGGGACCACTTTGGACATTCAGTTACTAAGTGAAGGTACTTGACCATTAGAAGCCTCAGTTTCTTTATCTCTAAATTAGGGCTAACAATAAAAAAAAAAACACTTTTCAAAAAAATTGTTGGGGTAACTAAATGACTGAACACCTACCCACCTGGCAGAGGGAAGGCTCCAAATACATTAATCAGAATGAAGATATTCTCTTGAAGCTTAAGGGTCAGCTTAGGGACTGGGGCTGTGGCTMGGGCTGGAGCACTTGCCTAGCATTCACAGCCCTGAGTTTGAGCTCCCCACATCACTAACATGGTCAGTTTAGGATCCTTCCTGCAAAGAGGTGCACTTGCCTGTGGCAGGGAGTCACTGGGACTTATAACCTCGGAAGACAATGTGGATTCAGTGGCCTCAGGCAGAAGCACTTCAGCACATGAAGAAATCCAACCCGAACTACACCTAGGGGTCCGGAGGCTCATCGCTGGCCTTGGCCCGTGGCTCTGGATCCTGTCCTAGGTTCTGTTCTCCGTTGTGCTGACAGCTTTCTCGGGAAGCCTTTCTCCTTGTGGCAGCTGAGCTTCTGCCAGTGCTGGGCTTGCGTCACCCCACAGCTTGCCTCAGAGAAGCCAGGAACACCGTCTCTCCCCTGGGTATTTATCTTACTCTCCTAAAAGGACGGTTTGGGTCACATGACTATCACGGACCACTGACCAAATTGGATCTGGGTCACAAAAACCCAGCCCGGTAGCAGGACCCTTAGAGCCCTCTGATTGACGACAGCCCTATTGGAACCCCTGGAGGGGGACTGTTCCCATAAAGCAAAGAAGCGTGCAGTTACCAGAAGGGAGAAGGCTCCCTGGCCAGGCAGATGCAGTAGCTGTCAACTGGAGTTAAAAATATGCTCTAGGTAAATCCCTGGATGACCTAATGCATCATCTTAATGGGCTCTTAAGGGGAGTGGGGATGCTCACAGGGTTTCATTGTGTGGGTCGCTCAGTACCCTGGCAGGGAAGGACTGTTTTGTCCTCTGCACATGGCCAGTTCCCAGCAGGCCCTCAGACCCTATCTGCAGCCTCACTGCTGCCTTGAAGTCCACCTTGGAAGCCAGACTTCTCCCCTGGAGTTAAGATGATCCAGGCAGCATTAAGATCTGAGGGCTGAAGATTCATAACCTCTTAAATGAGTGCTGGGAGGGAACACAGTGAAATATGGACAGCCCTGAAAAAAAGAACAAGGGACTTGGAATCTGAAGCCAAGGGTCTGTGCCAGCCCAGCTCCCTCCCGGCTTCATGACCTTGGACCTACCATTGCCCTTGGTGTCCCCCTCTGCCAAATCAGGAGCCAGGCTAAATGGTCTCTGACGTTTCTTCCAGTGCTGACATTCTGGGAATCTGTGAATGTTATTAAATTCATGAATCGGCTTCTTTGCCTGGAACAAGTCAGCTTAAAATACATGCAAAATTGCACTAAGTCTAGCTGTTGCCTTGCTGAGGAGGCAGCCTGGCGTATTTACATAGTTTGAAATTGGCTGCTGCATGCACAGGGTGGGGGAGCAGCAGCGACAGGCTCCGAGGCTGGCCCGCAGCAGCCACTTCTGATGCAAGCAGGGTCCCGGATCTTCCACAGCCTGGAATGCAGAGACCCCTTGCTAGTAGGGAAGGGGAAGAGACCGGTTTTGTATGGGGGCCTGGATACCTTGGGTCTGTCCTGGGAACTCGCTACGATATTATTCAATCTTCTAGACGGTCCTGAGAGCAAGCCTAACGGTTCCCATCTAGTGAAACAGAAAGCCGAGGGCTGTGGCTCCTCCGCGGCCACACGGTTCCTCAAGGTTGGAATGCAGGTGGAGTGGCTACTCTCTCCCTGTCCCTCTGGGCAGCAGAGTCTCCTCTTCACACACCCACGCTCAGCCAGCCACACTGCTCTTTGGCCAGGCTCTGGTTGGCCAATTCGCAGAGTCTTGGTCCATTCAATAAACACGAAATAAGTGCCTCTTGGGTGCTAGGCGCTGTCCTAGGGTCTCTGCAGGAATCAGGACAGACGAGGTCTTGGTCTTCTTGCAGCTGGTATTCTGGCGGGATGGTCCGAAAATAAACAGGCGAATAAATACATGGAGCGAATTGCGGGTTGTAATAAGTGCTCAGAAGAAAATAAACAGAGTGCACATGCCAAGAACACTGAGTCCCGCTTAAAGGGGAGCTGTTTGGGAAAGACCTGCCTGAGATGGGGACATCTAAGCTGAGAACAGAAGGAACTCAGGGATCAGGGCTGCAGGGCACTGCTGGGTCTCGCTCACCATCTCTTAGCTCCGCCTCCTTGAACCCCTCACTGACTCTGTTTTAGTCTCTTCATCTCCAAAGTGGAGTAATAATATCTCCCTAGAGAGCGTGGCTGCAAGGATTGTAGACAGCGTATACAGATCATCCAGTGCAGTGCCTGGCACCTTAAAGAGGTCTGCTGTAACCATTATCATCATTGCATTTTCTGAGTTGGGCCTGAGGCCTGATTCCCTTTGGGCATTGAGGCTGCGTGGTTTATCGAATCCCTCTATGGCAAACTCCAAAGACCACCAAGTCTGGTAGGAAAGATTCAGAGGAAGGGAGAACCAGGGCTGCTTGTTAATGAGAGCCAGTATGGGCCACTACCTATCGGAGAGAAGATACTCTGGTTATGGGCTAAGATCAGGGCTTCCCAAGGTGAGGGCAGGGACCTTGGGTCACCAGTTAGACCCAGTCTCACTCACCTAGTCTTGAGCCAAGTGATCATGGACTGAAACCTTGTGAGCAAAAGTAAGCTATTCCTCCTTTTAAACTGATTTTCTCAGGTATTTTGTCATAGCAATAGAAAGCTAACTAACACAGAAAAGACAAAGAGAGGAGAAGGTCAAGGAAGATTGGCTGGACTCACTGGCAGGGGGTCACTACAGGACAAAGCACCTATTGGAACTGGGGAAGAGGCTCTGGGGAGTAGGGGGGTTACATGTCTTTGTTGATAAATGATGGATAACGGAGATAATCCACTCATTCTGTGCTCTTGGCAAAGCCCCTTCCCATTTCTGGCCTCATACTTCCCATCTATAGAATGAGTCAGACAATCTCTAAGGTTTCCGTCTGCTCCTGATGTCTTATTTCTTCAGGACTGAGCCAGCTTGCTTACATCTCAAGAGTGGTTTTTACAACTGGATAGAAACAAGAGGTATGAGTTGTCTTTGGAGAAGTCTTGGAGGAAGGTGGCTCTGGACCTGATGGGGAGGCTGTGGCTGGAAAATCTACATGACATGACATTTATGCCTTGGGAAGGCCCTATGGAGTATGTGTGGCCGCATTTTGGAGCTATGGAAACACGCCATGTCTCAATCAACTCGTTTGGAGAATAGTGAGGGGCACTCAAGGAGGAGCCCGAGGCAGGGGTCTCATCAAGAAGACTGGGTTCCTCCACCTCCTCCTTCCCATACTGCTCCCTGGAGGAAATCCTGAGCTTCTGCACACTGCATGTTCCCCCYACCCAGGTCCCTGAGCTGAGTTTGAAATCTGTCATGCTGTATCAGCTGGGGGTGAGCCTGGGCACTCAGAAACACAGCCTTCCCTGGAATCTCTGCTATGTTTCCTTAGTCTGGAAACATCTATGGAATCTGCTTGAGTTTCCGGATCAGCACTCAATGCTCCCCGATCTAGCCCTGCTCCCCAGGAGTCAGGTCCACTATTCATGGCCTTTTTTCTTTCCCAAGAACCTTGAATGTCCATCTCCCAGCAGGCTCAGTGCTTAAGTCCCCTGGCCTAGACCTGCCTTGGAGTGGCAACTTCTCAGGCTACAAGTGGACAATGGCAAGGCCAGCCAGGCCTGCTGGATGGGACCCAGGGCACAGAGCATGAGCCTAACTCCCTCTGACAAGCCCAGGAACTACACCCCAGGGGCTGGCCAAGTTGAGGCCCAGGGGTTCTCCTGCTGGCAGGGCAGCTGGTCAAATTGATCCTGTAATTAAATCAGGGCCAGGCTTGGATGACTGTCTGGGCTCCAACTCTGCTTGGGCTCTGGCCTTTGGCATCCAGGATGGGCCAGGGTTTGCCTTTGAAGAGGCAGAAGGTTTGTGGTTGGGTGTGGAAGGGCCAGGGTAGGATCTCATGAGGGACTGTCTTGATTCCGTTGGTGGCTGAGAAAGGCCCCTTTAGCCGTGTTCAATTGTCCACAGTTAGGACTCCAAGGAGGTTGGAGGTGAGAAGTCTTAGATGAATATCTTGGGTAAGTGAACACTTGCTTAGGTCCTTCTATGAATTTTTCCACCTCAAGAAACGGTGACTCCATTATACCAGATGATGGAGTCAAAAGCTTGGAGTCATCCTGGATGCCCAGGGTTTTCTTAGATTGCACACTCAGTCCACCAGGAAATCCCATGGACTCCACCTTCAGTGTGCAGCCACCACCCAAATATTTCCCTCCAACTCCTTGCCTGACCCTTATCCAAGCCCCATGTTCTCACCTGCTTGAGTGCAATAGTCTCTCACTAGTCCCCTCTCCATTCTCTCTAAACACAGCAGCTGGGTGATGTGTCCAATCAAATCTCTCTGCTGAAAAGTCTCTGTGGCTTCCCACCTTACCCAGAGTACAATCTAGAGTGCTCTCTGTGCCTACAGATCTGCTTCCCAAACTTCCTGCCTTTATTTCCTGTTGTGTCCCCCTTGTTCATTCTGCTCCAGCAACATTGACCTCCCACACGCCCTCTACCCCTCGAGGACTCTGCCCTTCTCTTCCTGAGCCTGAAGTGCTCTTCCTCCATATCTACACGGCAACTCCCTGAAGGTCTCTGCTTATTCCAAAGGGGTTCCCTACCCACCCTGCATCACGAAGCATCCCTTACCATCACTTCCCGTCTCCTTACCCTGCTTTATTTTTTTTTTTTTTGAATAGTATTTTCAGTCTCATTCATCTCCCACCAGGTCAAGTCCCTGAGAGCCAGAGCCCTGGTGGTTTTGTTTGTTGGTGTATGTTCCTTGACTAGCAAGGAAGGGGACATAATTCCTTGCAGCCCCCATAAAATGGAGCAAGATGCTGGGGCATAATGGAGGCTTAATTCAGGCTGCCCCATTTAGCGTGCCTCTTCTTTGCCAAATGCTGTGGCCTTAGACTTCTTTTGTAGAAGAACATGGTAAAATTGGCTTGATCGGAAATCAGCAGACTAGTATTCTAGTTACCAATTTTCTGTGTGTCCTTAATCAAGCTGCTGTCCCTGTCTGGGCTGCAATCTTCTCACCTTCCATTTCCAGACTGGACAATTTAGGATTCTCTTGCCCTCCACCCCTCCACCCCGGGCATTCCCAGGCCTCTCCTCATTCTTGGAAAGTAGTTACAGAATTAGGAAGCAACGACCAGAGGACGGCAGACCTGAGTTCTTTCCTTCGTTTCCAGTTGTRTGCTATTGGCAAATTAGCAATCCACTTAGTGCCTCGGTTTCCTCATCTATAAACCGGGGATAAGAAGGCTTTCCTGGACAGATGGCTGCCACACAGCTGCACTGTGAGGCTCAGTGAACAAGAAACTGCTATGGAGTTTGGGGTCATGACTAAGAGGGACAGTGAGCAGCATGGGCTTGCAGCCAGATGGCCTGGGTTCAAATCCTGGCATTGAAGTTATGTAAGCTCTCCCAGCAAGTTATGCAAACCTCTCTATGCCTCAGTCCCTCCAGTGTAATATGGGGGTGATGAGTGCCAACCACACAGGGTCACCATGAGGATTACATTAGTTAATATAGGTGAAGCRCCACATTAGCATTTGGTTTTATTATCCATTCTTAGAATCATTCATTCATTCTGCAATCACTTATTAAAAGCCTATCTATATGCTATTGCTGGTTCGGGGTTCATGTCTTCCCTGCACTCATTTAAAATTTTCCTCCACCTTTCCCTTCCAAGGAGAGGGATGGCCCTATTATGTGAGACTTTGGGCACAAGGATGATATCTTATTTACCTCTGATCCACAGAGCCCAGCACAGTGCTCGGGGCTCTGCCGATGTTCCCTGGGTGAATTAGTGAAGAGGCCCCAGCACTTGCAGCACTAGTTTTATACCAATTCCCTGTCAGTTCCCTGAGGTCCTTATCCCTACAACAACAGTGTCCCCCCACCTTGTAGATAGAAAGTTGGGATTCAGCCAGGTCAATTATCTATCAATAATCCCCAGTTAGGAAGCTAGGGCTGGATTCCAGTGCAGAGTTGGGAGCCCAGGGCTGGGGCTCTTTGCTTCCTGGGGAATGTCCTCCCCCAGAATAGAAGACACCCGTTTACTGAGCACTTACTACACGGCAAGCCTAACGGCAGGTAACTTCTCATAACTTCCAATCCAACTTCATCTTCACGGCTCCCCTGTGATTGCCATTTCTCCACTCTCACCCCAGCTTATCAATGAGGAGACTGGTCAGGCCACCAGAAGGAGGAAGAAGAGTAGGGTAAAGAGATTTTCACTCACTTCCTGGATCCTGAAAATGTAAGCTTTCCTTACAATGAGGAGCGGGCTGAGGAGCGGGCTGAGGAGCGGGCTGAGGAGGGGGCTGAGGAGGGGACTCAGAACCCCCCAGCCTTCTTTCCTTTCTCTTTCTCAGGAGCTGACACCCAAGGAAGGAAAGCTTTTTCAGGAACTTTTAATACAGCGATTGCTCATTCACACCTTGCAGTCTCGTGAATCCCATTGACAAAAATACCCGAGGAGGGTGATTCGATTCCATCGCACCTTGCAATCCCTGGACTTCCCGACTCCGCCCCAGGAGACCTCATGCTCATATTTCCCTGGAGGATCCCAGACATCAGAGGGCTTAGGGGGACAGAGTGGGAGTCCTTGCCGTTATGTCGGTCCCAGTTGGGTGCTGAGCCCACCAGGTGGCTGTGGTTTCCTATCAAGGGCATGTCAAGGGCTTCGAGGGTTTCATGCTGAGTTCTAGATTTGCCTCTCGTTACCTGTGTGAGCACAGGCCATTACATTGCTTCCCTGAGCTTCAGTTTCCTTATCTGAACATTGAGGTGCCCACAATGATCTCACAGAACGGTAAGAATTAAATGAGATAACAGGCAAACTGCCCAGCAGGACACTGGCCCATGCTTGGTGTTCC